TAGGAACAAAATCAAAAGCTTCCCAGGTTGACTGGGGCACCTTGGCACCTGGTTGATCACCCATTCCCTGCTCCAGGAGACCCCAAAATCAGGTGTGGGGGCGGGGTGGAAAACCAAGAGTCTCAGGCCCAATTTGTATTTGTCTTTCTTCCATTTGTGTATTGTGTATTTGTCCTACAAAACAGCAAAAAACTGGCCCAGGTATTTGAGAGGAAGGACGATCTATTACTACTGGGGCAGGAAGAGAGGGTGATACTTAAATGGAACTGTTGAGCTTAAGACACAGAAAAGGAGATGAAGAAGTCATAGAACCCCCAACAGACGTTGCATAAATCTGTGAAACAGAAACACACACCCCTCTCCACGGACAGGAAGGGAATGGACTGCAATTTGGCCAGGAGTCTGGGAAGGCTGAGTTTGCCTGGGTGTGGGACTCTGGCCCCGGCTAAATTCTTGATTAAAGGCCATTAGACTCGCTCCCTAAAGCCCTATAGAGGCCGGCGGAAGGGCAGAGTCCAGTTAGAGACCGAGGAAAACTCCAGTCTCCCTGAGGTTTGAATGGAAGGTTTCCAGAAACCCTTAAAATCACAGACTGGTGGGGAGGAGAGAATGGAGAGGGCCGCTTATGAGAAAGGGAGAACCTGAGAGTTAACTTTTTGAATGGGCTACTGGGGAAATCCTCTGGGATGCTCACGCTTCCCTGGGAAATAAAGGAGTGGCGGGGGGGGGGGGGGGGGGGTGGTGGGAAGGCCCAATCTTGGCGTGGGACAGAGGGCTCCAGAGGGAGGGCATCCGGGAGTTCCCCATGTCCCCTGCCAGCGCTCCTCACGCAGGCGAGAGCCCGCTAGAGCCAGGGATGGGGATCGGCTCAGACACCGATGTCTTTGGGTCTCTGTTCCCCTTCACCCTCCTGGAGTCTGCCCGGGCTCTCTGTCTCTCTGCTTCAGTCCCGCTTCTTCCTCAGTTCTTTGGACGGCAGGGGCACACTGACAGCGTCCTCTCCCCGTCCCCCCCAACACTTCTCCACAAAAACGGTGTCCAGGCCCCCCTCGAGCCCTAAGGCAGTCCTCCCCCCTGGGTAGGTGCTGACCTGGCTCGCCCCCTCCCCTCTCCTCCCCTTTCCCTTGGCCTAGGCCAGTAGCCCTCCATGGGCCCGCCTTCCTCCCTGCTTCGGAATCCCTCGAGATATGGGAGATATGGTCGGCCCCTTCAAGGAGCCTGGGTTTCTATGTCTTCGCCATCCTGGCTTAGCTCCGGGTGACTCATGGGGAGGGGTATGCACTTGCAGGTGTGGAGGACACGTGCCTCCCGTGCCCGACGCCTTCACTGCTCCTTCCTAGAAATCTTTAGGGTGCCCCAGCCTGAGACTGGCCCCAGGAATCATTGCCCATATTGGGCCCTGATGGCTCCATCCCCCAGAGGCCACTCTCTCCTCCGGGCTGAGGATCTTTCCTGGCCAGCCCAGTAAAGACACTGCCTCCACTCTCCCACTCATTTACACTCCACTCACAGCAGAACCTCTAGGCCTCCCGGCCTACTTTTACCTCAGGCAAGGGCTAGGGGTGCCAGCAAAGACCCCAGCAGCTAGAGGGAGGAGGCACGAAACCACACTGGCCCCAGCCAGACTAAGACCCCAGACTACAGACGCTGGGACAGCTGCCCACCCAGGCCTGGTGGTGAGGAAAGAGAAAACGCTTTGGGACTCCCTGGATTCAAACCAGCCACCTTCAAGATGCTTCTGCCACTTCAGGTCGCAGCCTATGGGCTCAGAAGTCCCAACGCCTTCCCTGCCTTCCCTCCCGGCCTCCCTCTCCAGCTGCCTGACCTGCCCTGGCCCAAGGGCCGAACTGGCCCCTCCCTGGCCCAGGGCCCCCCAGGTGCGTTTGCACCTAGAGTTTACACACTCTCACCAGCACCCAACACCCATGTGTGTGCCGCAGTCTTTCTTCCCAGCTGAGGAGGAAGAGGGGGTCAGGAAGACCTAGCAAAGCTCTAAAGAACCCAGGCCTCTCTTTACCGCAGTTGACTCGCAGCTGGAGGGAATAAAGGGCAGGGAGGGGAGGGCTGGTCAGAGGAGACAAGCTCCCCCATCCTCCTACCTCCCAGCGGCTTCTTCTCTTCTTCTTCCACCCTAGCCTGGGGATGCCCGGGGAGGCCTTCTTCCCCTCCCCTTAATGAGTGGGAACTGCCTCCTATCTTGGGGAGGGGGATTAGGTAAACGGGAGAAAGGGTCAGAGAGAGAGAAAATTAACTTACAGCGTTCGCCTGGGATTCATTTGCGAAGATGTAACTCTCACCATCATCCCCAGCGCCGTAATCCCCTCTAACTGCCAGGCCCTCTGTCCTAGCATTAAACCTCACCAGCAGCTGCGTGGCTGGACAGTTAAGATTATATATGATGTAAATATATTGTGGGTTTGTCAGCTCTCCCTACACCATAAAACTTGGTTTAATGACATCACGTGGTCCCCCAAGAGCCACTCACGGGCTTGCCTTCGGGCCATTCACATAAATAACCTCCAAAAGTTTCAAACTCCTAAATTCACATAGAAGCCGTGCGTATTTCTCTAATGCTCAGTTACACTAAAAAGCCCTTGTGCTGCTCCTTTGCCCCACCCCCACACCCCCCTTGCAGGGTGGGGAGGGGGGAGAGGGTGGATCCTTATTTATTTATTTATTTACTTACTTATTTCCATAAGGACCTGTCGCCTTCGAGGTCGTGTTGATATTTTTTTCCTCCTATTTTTTTTTCCTCCTCTCTCCTCTAATTGCTCAGAGTGGGCCGTGTCCCCCTCTTCCCACTCCCCGGGGGAAGGTAAGTCACGCTTCTTGCCCTTTTTTTCTCGCTGCCAGAGGGGGTGGGCTTCAGGGCAAAGTGGAGAGGCAGGCTCCATGGTCTCTGCTTGGGACCCAGAAGCCCCTCCACCAACTTTCCCAGAGCAACGCCAAATCCTGGTACTCGCAGATTGTTCCAGGAGGCTGGCTGGTGGGAGAACCACCTCAGACTTCAAAGCAGAGGCCTCTGCTCGGAGAGAAAGCGAGGGTCTGGGCGGTACCTACTCCCAGTGTAGGGGAGTGCGTCCGAGGCCTCTGGCTAGGTTGTGGCCGCTGACGCCGCTGGAGCAGAGGCTGGGGCCTGGGCGCAGGCCTGCAGACTGACAGGAGGGGCAGGGGCGGGGGCGGGCGGGCGCGGCTGCGTCTACCCCAGCCCGGCCAACCTCAGTCAGCCCTCCAGCTGCTCCAGGGAAAGAGAGGCCTTCACCCTGCCCTGCCTTGGCGGAAGGAGGCCTTCAGTGCAAGGTGGGGCCGGTGCGCCCTACCCTGCGGGTCTGAGTCACTTAGGCCCTGGCCCCGGCCAAGCCCCTGGTTCTATCCCTGGGGCGGTGCGTCCCCTGGGGAGGAAGCTCAGGGCCTCGGCAGCCCGGGATGCCGGCTCACGCGATGGCGGGCGACACGGCTTCTTTCTTAGTTAACTGTTACCCACTGGAGACGCCAGTGCTTCTCCACGCTTCACCGCTCGCCCAATAGTTTTCCTCAGCATGGAGAAAAAATTAAAATAACTCCCTGAAGAAAATTACACATTTTATTTGAGAGAGAGAGAGAGAGAGAGAGAGTGAGAGGTTGAGAGAGGAGCCGAGTTGGTGCTAGGCTGGGCAGACTGCTGTGTGCTAGTCATGGAGAGACACTACGGGCGCCCTAACCTGGCCTGAGTGCAGGGCGAAGGTAAGGGTACAGCGATGGGTGCAGTTCAATAATCATTTGTCCAGACCTCCTACGTGCTAGGCATGGGGTGACGAGAGGCTCCTGGGTTAAAAAAAAAAAAAAAAAAAAAAAAAAGACAGATGGATAGCTTAGGCAGTGGGATGCAGAGAAGTCAGTCCTTATAATAAATCCAAGGAGCATCAGCATTAATAATCATAAATATTCCCCTTGCCCCTCCCCAGAGTCTCTCTGCTCCCTTTCCCTTTTGGCTGCTATAGCAGTCTTCTAGCCCAGCTCCTGAACCGCACCCTCCCCCAGTGTGGGGGGCCTAGGCTTGGCTCCAGGAAATCACCCCGTTGTGGGAGGCGGGAGAGGAAATGCAGTAAAGTTTTATGGACCCTTCCCACATTTGTTTCTCCTATAAAGTACTTCCTCCCCCATCCCATCCCAGGAGCCTGGGGCAGAGCAGAGCCTGGGCCTCAGCCAGCCTCGGGCACCACCTGAATTATCTGCCTTTCCCCCTTCCCCATAGCCCACCCTCCCCCTCCACACAAAATCCCAGAGACTGAGACAAATGATGGCAAACAGACAGGACTCAGGCACCAGTCTATGCAGCTCCTTTCCCAGCTAATTGTCCTGCATAGCCTTAGGCCCTAGAAGTGGGGAAGCAGTCAGAACATTTCCTGCCAGGCAGGTACGCTGTAGATTGCCCTCCCTGCTCCCATCTCCCCCAGTATCATAAAAAGCTAAGACACATTTCCTCCAACTCCCCCACACCCCCTTCACCAAGCAGTACCAACTCTTCCTGAGGATGTTTCTGGGACCAAATGGGCCCCTGGGCTGAAGGCTCAGCCCTCCCTCGATGTCCAGCGAGGCCCCTCAGGGACCCCCTGGCCCTGGGAGAGATCTTCAGAGGTATCACGGAGCCACCCGTCCCTGCAAGTTAGCTCTGGCAAGCAGCGGAGGCTGCAGCCAGTCTAGAGGCCTCAGATCCAGCCAGCCAAGGTGGGAACGGGGTGCAGAGGCCTGCAAGCCTTGGAGAGCCACAGCAGGGAAAAAGCCAGTACAGACTGTCTAGGTGCCCTCCCCTTTCTCCAGAGGCCCTTCTGGGAACCAGGGATCTGGAAAGGAGCGCACTTTCACCTTCCTCTTCTCAATACCCCTAGAAGCTCCTAAGAATTCTTTAAAAAAAAAAAAAAAAAAAGAGGCTGAAAGGCTGTGGGCCTCCCCTACACCCCAGAGCCCACTTAGACACTTTTACCCAATACATGCCCCAAACAGAGAGGCACTGCTGCATCTTTAGTCCTGTTCTCTCTTTGTCTTTATTTGATATGACAAAATATAGTTTCAGGAAAGACCTGGAGTCAATAAATAGTTGGACAACAGCGAGGGGGCAAGAGGGCACAGAAAGTCGTGGCAGGGACTACTGGGCAGCCAGGAGCCTCTAGGACTGCTTGCTGGGGTCCAGTGGCAAGGAACCCCCATAGTTGAGCTAGCTAATGGTCTGCGGCGGGGGTGGGGTGGGGAGGACCTGAGAGGACATGCAGAGGGCGCAGGCTGGAGAGGTTACCGGGCTTAGGGATGGGGGAGAAGGTTTGGAGAGCCGAGGGCAACCGAGGGGACCCTAGGCGGACCTACAGTCATTCCCCCCTTTCATATGCAAATCATTTAAAAACCGAACAAGGAGTTTAGTCGCCACAACGAAGCACCCCGAGTCTGGCGCCGGACTCCGCCAGGCACAACCACTCTCGCCAGCCCGCAGCCCGCAGCCGCCTGGCCAGCCTAAGCCAGGAACAAAGGAGAGGGGAGGCTGGAGGGTCGGGGCGCGGGGCCTGGGGCGCCCGCAAGGCCGACCTTAACTCCGGCAGGCCGCTCTGGGGCTGGAAGCCTGAGAGGCGGCCCAGGCCAGGGTTCCTTCGGCACCAGCCGATATACCACAGCCCTCTGGAGAGCCCCTGCGGAGCTTGCCCTGCCCCCCCCCCCCCCCCCGGTGCTAAGCAGAACTGAGGGGAGTCCGGGCAGCGCGGGCAGCCCCGCGGGAACCTGGGGTCGGTGGGGATGCGGAATGCCAAGGAAAAGCGCTTTTGTCTGTGAGGCCCCGGAGCCGGTGCTGCAGCCCCCGCCCTTGCCCCAAAATATAGAGAGCGGAAAACCGAAAAGGAAAGGCGCAGGGACCCAAGCGGGCTCAGGGCGCTATCTGCGGGCCTCCCCGCTGCCTCTAAAGGGCCTCTTTGCTTTTCATTTTGGAATCTTTCTTCCACTTCATCCTGCGGTTCTGGAACCAGATCTTGATCTGTCTCTCGTTGAGACACAAGTTGTTGGCGATCTCTATGCGCCTGCGGCGAGTGAGGTAGCGGTTAAAGTGGAATTCTTTTTCCAGTTCCAGAGTCTGGTAGCGCGTGTAACTGGTTCGGGACCGCTTGCCGTCCGTCTCTGGAATATAAACCCCCCCAAGCCAGGAAGGGGTGAATAGCGTGCAGCGCCCCAGCGTCCCGACCCCAGCCCAGGCCCCCACCCGCGGCCGGAGGGAGAGGAGGCGAGCAGGGCAGGAGAGGCCCAGCGGGCCGCAGGCGGGCCCGGCCCAGCCCAGCCTAGCCCAGCCTAGCCCCGGGAGAGGCGCCTCCGCCCTGGCAGGAAACTTTCCGCCGCAGCCTTCACTCAGCAAGCCGGAGGGGCTGAGGGGGTTGGGGGGAGAGGGAGACCCAGGCTCGGACCGAACAATAAGCACCCTCGAGATCCGAGCACCGGGGACCCCCCTCCCGCCCCTCCCGGAGTCGCTGGAATCCTCCGGAGCGGCCAGCGCCGGCCGAGCCGGCTCCACAGGGGAGGGAGGGAGGGAGCCGCGGGGGGATCCCCGCTCTGGAGCCCCGCGCTCCTCACCCTTCAGATCCCTCTATTTTTTTAACTCCCTCCCTCTCCCCCCAAAATTGAATATTGCCTTTTATACACGTTTTGTTCCTATGATCCAATTATGTCGTCGTAAATTTGGGCGCACACAGCCTCTAAGCCTTTTAGTGGACAGTTTTACGAGCCATTGATGCCTGGATCGTAAAATTTATGGCCGCAGGTTTTTTTTCTTTATTTGCCCCGCATGGCCTATAAAACCCAGGCGGACCCGAGCGCGCAAAATGAAGTCCTAAAGTTTACCGTGGCTCATGTGCAGTTTGGTCATCCACGGGTAAATCTGTGGCGGGGCCGGTGGCTGGCTCAGTCCGGCGGGCTGCCCTGTCTGCGCCTGCTCCTCTTTGATCTCCCCACTGCTCTTAGCTCGCTCCTCCAGCGCTGGGCGAGCCGCCTTCTGACTGTACATCCCGGGGTTCAGAGGAGCCGCTTCATCTCTGCCCAGAGCGTGTCCCGGAGCGGCCGCGGCGCTGCAGGCGGGGCGGTCGGGGTGAGCCCGGGGGTTGGCAGCCATGTCTACCCCGTGGAGAGAGTTGGAAGGCGCAGGCGGTGGGAAAGTGATGCTTAAGTCCAATCCACCGTAGCAGTACCTGGATGCCTGCACCTCTGAGGCCGATCCATAGTTCCCACAAGTTTGCATGTTATAGGCAGGGATATTGGGGCTCTGCTTATAGAATGAATTGGCTACGTAGGAGCTCATGGCGGGGAGGGCCCAAAAAAAATTTCTGCACCCTTTTTGATTAAGGGTGATTTGTGACTCTTTGAAGTTGAGGGGTTTTTTGTTCTCCAAAGTGCACAATTTATAGGTGGAGATATCTCTTTCTTTATCCTATGCGCTCTTCCCAAATAAGGGAGCCTTAAATAGAGTCACGTGACTCGAGCGGCCACTCATAAATTTGGCTTGATGACCTCCGGGAGGTTAGTGATGGAAGCCGGCGAAACGCATCTTGATATGTTGGCAAAGCCCAACCAAGGGGGAGAGGGAGTGAGAGAGAAAGAGAGAGAGAAGGGGGAGAAAAAAAATGGTTCTTGGAATTGGGGGGTAGCCGGGACAACGAGCCCACAGCGACACCTGGTGCCTACTTGGAGGAATTGCAGCCTGGCTTCTCGGCTCGCCTTCAGACCGCTGGATTTTCTACCCTGTAGAGGAGAAGCTGGTTGTTGCTGCAACAAACCCTTGAAATGGCCTTTTAAATTGTGTTTAATTTTAAGAAAAGATGAGGCCTCATTTAGGATACAAAAACTAACGGATATCTCTGTCCTCCCCACCCCCAGAGCCTTTCAATCTCCAAAAATGGCTGAGGGAAGGAGATTTGGGGGGGGGGGGATCTGCCCAGGCTGGAGATCCCAGGGGATTTATCTCAGTTTCTCTAAACTAAGTGTTGAAGTCCCTCTCCTTGGAGGCCCCAAGGCCCTGCTACTGCTGAGGAGGTGACTGTCAGCATGGGGAAGTGAACCCAGTCCCTGGAGAGGTGGACAGGATGTCCAGAGAAGGAGGGGTCCTGGGTGGGCAGAACTGGATAGGGGGGGGTTGAGGGTCACAAATCTGAGAGTCCTGGGAACTCTGGGATGATCCTGGAGGTGAGGATACAGGGGGGAGTTGGGTAGACCTCACCATGTTTGGACTCCAGACTGGCAAAAGGCAATTCTGTGTGTGTGTGTGTGTGTGTGTGTGTGTGTGTGTAACCAGACACAATGGGCTTGGAGGACTGCTCTGTATCCCTATGCATGATCCTCATGTGGTACCTTTGCCAGATATTTGAGATAGAAAATAGATGTTAATTGAGGGCATAAAGAAGCAAGATTCAAGATTCCACAAATATATGAGCATGGCAGAGGAAAAGGCCTGTGTTGTGCCCTTTTTGGAAAATGCCTCTGGAACAGGTTTTCCAGGGACCTAGATACAGAAGGTCCACAGGAGAGCAATTTCTGAGCTATTTGGAGGCGTGTAAAGGACCTGGCTGGGGGTGGGGGATGTGGGCAGGTCAGGCGCCTGGGCAACCTTCACAGCCTGTGGCCAGGGGCTCCGCAGCCATTCGGCCCCTTTCCGAACCCCCTCCCCTAGCCCCAAGTCTTATTCTTTCTTGCCTGCCTCTCCCCAGGAAATCCCCGCCCCTGCCAGGAGAAGCCCCCCTCCTGCCCCCCCCCCCCCCCCCCGCGGGGGAGGCGCTGGAGGGGGCGCTGGCGGGGATCTGGAAGGTCTGGAAAACTCTGGCGGATTTTTTCCCTCCGGGAGACCCCCTCACCACCTCACCCCCTAGATCCACTCAGGTTTCTCTGTCTGGGCTTAAGGAGAGAAGGCCTGAGTTGGGGAAAGGGGTTAGGGTAGGGTCTGGCCGCGCTCCTCACTCGCCGAGTTTGAGGGGAGAAGAAGGAGGAAGGAAGCAGATTGGGACTGGGGTTGTAAGGAAGAAGGAATTTTGTCCCAGCCCTGTCAGGAGTCCCAGAGCAGGCTCAGTTTCCAGGCTTTCTTTTTCGAGATGTCCTTGAATCGCTCAATCCCTGCGGAAGGGCTCAAATCCCGCGGTCTTCTCTTTCCCCTCGGCTCTCCGCCTCCGCCACGTTTCGCAACAGTCGGCCTGGCGCGGGCCCGGGGGGCTGCTCGCGCGGCGCCCCCCATCCTCACTCCCAGAAGTGGACGGGAGAGGCCCTGGTGCCTGGAGAATGCTTCTTTTCTGGCCCTTGGGGGCTCGGGGTTCAGAAGCCGAGGACCCCAGACTACCACAGGCTGGAAGAAAGGCCTGTGTGCGGCTGGAGACCAATCCGAGCAACCGGGTTTCTCCCCCCACCCCCAACGAGATCCCATGCAGCCTTTTTTTTTTTTTTTTTTTTTTTTTTTTTGCGGGGTGAGTGTGTTGCTCCGCTGGGAAGCCCAGAGAGGCCTCCCAGCTCCCCCAGCACGTCCACTAGGAGAGCGGGGAGGCCCCGGCTCTGCGCCCAGCTCCCGGGAAAGGCGAGCGCAGGGGGCTGGGGGCTTGCAGGCGGCGGGCGGACGCGGGAGCGCTCGGAGCCTGCTCCAACTTTCACCCCAGGCCGGCGGGCGAGCGAATTAACAGAAATCCCAATATAAACTTTTAAAAATAATATCAGTTTTATTAAATATTCGAGAACGGATCCAGAGGTCGGATTTATACAGGAGGGTAACACGAGGGGGATTTTTTTTTTAATTTATTTTGTTTTCTCCTACTGGCTAAACAAACGTCATTCACTTTTTTTTTCTCTCTTTTTGTAATTTTCCCTCTTTTTTTTCCCCTTTTAAGATGGGATTGAAACACGGACGGTGCTAAACATAAATATAAATACAGAGACCACAAATACAGCTAAAAATATTCACACAGAAACGGTCACAGTTTGTAATATGCCATAATGACCCCCAGGATTCTTTAAATACAATTTGCCTGGGCTGGGCATTTGCTGGGGCAGAGGGGCCGGACAGGGGCTGCGGGGAGGCCCTGGGGGTTGCTGTGGGGCCACGACGCGCTTTCCTTGGGCCTCCCGCCCTCCCCGGCTGCCAGGCCGGGCCCTGAGGCCCCGGAGCGGAGGCCCCGGCCCGGGAGCCAGCTCTCCGCGCAGGGGCGGAGGTGGGGGCGCCGAGGGAGTGGGAGGCCAAGTCCTCATTTGGAAGGAGATCTGTGGAGCTGAAGCGAGGTTCAGGGACGGAGCCCCCAAGGCCTGGGCGGGGGAAGGGGCCTGCAGAGGAGCCGAGAAAGGAGCTAGCGAGGGAGCAGGAGGAGGAGGCGCGTGGTGAAAGAGAGTTTGTGCGGTGAGGGAGGGGTCCAGAGTTGACTTTCAGGTCCATATTTGACTCCCTAATTTTGTTTTAGGGAGTCAAAACGCATCAATTGTGCCAGTGATAAATATAGAGGGTGTGATTAGGAGGGAATTGGGGGGGAGCAAGGGAGAAGGAGAGAGAGGGGTGGCAGGGACAGTTCTGGTCACTCTTTCTGCTTCTCCTCCTCTGTCTCTTCCCGCTTTTCCTCTTTTCCGCCCAGGCTGTCGGCCGCGGCCCCTCCGCCGCCCCCTGAGAGCGTGGACGTGAGATTAGATTCTTTTTTCCACTTCATCCGGCGGTTCTGGAACCAGATTTTGATCTGTCGCTCGGTCAGGCAGAGCGCGTTGGCGATCTCGATGCGCCGGCGCCGCGTTAGGTAGCGATTGAAGTGAAATTCCTTCTCCAGTTCCAGGGTCTGGTACCGCGAGTAGATCTGGCGACCGCGCCTCCGGTCAGCTCCATAGCCGACCCCTAGAGATCCGGGCACAAAACACACTAAAAACAATCAGCAAGGCATCCTCCGTAGACGATTTAGCCTAGCAAAGTCCTGACCCTCCCAACTTGGCCAGCAGCTGACGGGCCCCCTCAGACTCCAGCCTTCTCCCTTTTGCCCTGCCCCACCCCCACTGGGGGTACAGCCAGGATCCCAACTTCATTCAGTCCCCCACCGTATGTGGGTGGGTGAGTGTCCCAAAGAAAGGGGGGGGGGGGCGAGGGCAAGAATCAGGCAGAAAGCTGTAAGTCTAAAAACTGGTTTTTGAAAAATCCCAAATACTGGGGATGAGGGCCCCATTTCTCAACGACTGGGCTCCCCCACTTCCCCAAGCACCCTAGCTCCTTGGAAACTTCTCCCCACTTCTCTGCCTCCTACTCTCCCCCTTTCTCCTCAGCCTGACTCGACTTTGGGGGGCTCCCCTACCCTTTGCCCCCTCCCCTCATACCCTGCCCTGTTCCTGCCCCCTCAGCCTGGAGCCCTCCAATGCGTCAGGGGCCGAGGGGGCCAGGCCCCTGCGAGCAAGCGGGAGGCGAGCAGAGGGGGCAGAAGAGGGGGCCCTGTCTCGGCGTCGGCGAGGAGACGAGCGTGATTGTTTTTATGGGGCCATAAAAAACTCTCTCCGCCCGTTCTTCTAGGGAAGCCGGTCATAAAGCCAGTTCAGTTTATTTAATTTATATCTCGGAGCTGTAAAACTCACCACTGTGCGAATTCATTCGCTGCATCCAGGGGTAAATCTGGATACTGGCTTTCTGGTCCTGGGGCGCAGTCCTGCCCTGCTCAGAACTAAAATCCTGAGCGATTGAGGTCTGTGTGTTATGTCCTAAGGTGTTTTGTCTGCAGTTTGAGAGCATGTCTTTCTCCTGGTAAAAGGAATTAGATCCATAGTCATACGGCCCCCGGCTGGAACTGAACACGACATTCTCCTGTGGCGAATAAAAGGGAGTCGAGTAGATCCGGTTCTGGGCAACGGCTGCTCCATAGGTCGAGAAATGCCTCACTGGATCATAGGCGGTGGAATTGAGGGCGACGTTGGGGAGGACGTCCTGGCCCCCGGCGAGGTGGCAGGATAAGGAAGGGTTAGTGAAGTAGGAATTCATCCCTTTGCCTTTACCTGGTCGGGCTATGATTTCTTTAATATTTATTTCTGTCTCCAGTTTGTACTCGGAACTAGATGGTTATAGGGACGGCTCCAATCCAGGACAGACAAAATGACAAAGTCAGCTGACCCCCTTCCAGCCAATCGCAAGCCAGATGTCAAGAAGGGGGAAAAAAATCGCTTCTGCTTCTGTTGATTCCCTAGTTGAGACTAAGTGTGTGCTTTGAAAGTAAGACTTGGATTTCTTTTAAAAATATATATGTTAGGGAACTGATTTGGAGGTGAGAGAAGGGTGAATATGCATTAGCAGGGCCTTGGGGCCCAGGAAAGAGGGGCTACACTGCTAGGAAATCTCTAAGCTCCAGCTAACTTTGCTGTGGCTAGAGCCAGGGCTGGAGAAATCCCTCTATTTTCGATCCGATTTCATCGTTTATATCTTCCCCCTTCTAAAATTACACCCTGATTTCTCCATGGGAAGAGCCCCTTCCCAGCTCAGGGGGGGAATCCCCAGAAATCCTGCAGGAAATCCTGGTTTGACCCTCCATGGAGTGAGTCCTCATCACTAAGCCAGGATTCCCCCAACCCAGTAATTTAAAAAAAAAAAAAATCAAAAGTAGAAAGAAACTGCATAAAACGTGGCGCTCAGAGGAAGGAGAGTGTGGCTGGTAGGCTTAGGTGTAAGGGGGATGTAGGGAGTAAGCAAGTCTAAAGGGGGTAAGGATGAGACTTCAGGGTACAGTGGCGAGCTAAAGTGGGCAAAAGGGCCATGCATCCGCTTCCTCTTCCTTTTAGCCTCCTTCTGCCTCTCAGAACCCCCTTTTTGGGGGGAAGCTGCTGCAGCATTTTGGTAGAAAAGGGAAAAATGTATGAAAATACAATAGAAAAAGAGAGAAAGGAGTAAAAGGTGGGAGAGAGAAAGGAAAATAAGGAAGAAGAAAGAACTCTGAGAATCTTTCTAGACACATCAACTCCTGTTTATGTTGGTGAGAATTTATGATTTGGAGCCAGGGAGGGCCGGTGGGGTAATTCACATAAGATCCAGGCAGAGAGACAAGGCTGGTGGGGCTCTGAAGGACAGTTAGCGTCTGGCAGGCTCGAGCCCCTACACAGGTCAGAAGCCCCTTGCCCCTGCCAAGGGAGGCACCCCTGGACCTGAGCCCTGGGGGCTTGGGAGATTCCAGCAAAGGGCTCCTGGGGAGCTCCCTCAAGGGCCAGCCACACCTGGTAGAGCCGGGCCTCTCAGCAGCCCCCACCCCCATTTTCTTTCCACCTTGGGGCCGAGAAAAAGGAAGGGAAGGTTAGGAAAAAGGCAGCTGAGTACGAGGCTTCTGAGGGAGCCGCAGTGGGCGAACTGAAACAGCGGAAGGTGTGCAGATGTGGGTTTTCTCCTGATTAATCCAAACTTAATTTGATATCGTGACATAGACTGAAAATGCTTTGAGTTGACAAAGAGGGGGCGGTGGGGCTAGCGAAGGAAGCAGTGGAAGCTCATATTTTTCTCTTCACCATTTTGGGGGGGGGGGGTGGCTATAACAAGAACCCGGATGTCGCCGGATTTTATGATCTTTTCCTTCTGTGTAACAAAGCGGAGTAATCAATGGGTAGCAATAAAGCCATAAACGGGACTACGCTGGGAAAAAACTCGTTTATTCATCTTCTGTAACGTTAAGGTTTCCCTGGAGTGTCGCTAGGGGGGAAAAATAAAGTTTCGAACCCAAAAGCAGACAGTGTGTAGGAGCTGGTGGAGACAACATGTTAGTTAATACATGAACCTCGTTAGGGGATTGAGGAGTCTCCCTGTCTGACAGTTTGTGTTGGCTCTTAAAAATACAGCCCCAAGCCTTCAGAAAGGAGGGAAATTTGCTGATATTTAAAAGGGTTAAGGGAAAGACCCCCATATTATAAAGGTTTCCCCTTGTGGACCATACTTTCTTCTACCCAGCGAGATAAAAGTGAAAGACTGAGGAGGGTTCCAATTTAAGAGGGAAATTCTGAGAGGAGTTGTCTCATTTGGGGGTGACATGGCAGGTACATAAACACAGACACCAGCGTGACTTGATTTTTGCTCTAGAATCCAGCTGTCCTCAAATTCATGGCGTGCCTGGACAGAGGTTTTCAACAGCTGGCTGGGGCTCCAGGCCCCCTGGAGGGCAAAGAGGTAGAGTGAGAAAGAACTGGGGGGGGGGGGGCGCGAAGACCCAGAGGGCTGAGCTAAGAAACAAGTCAGCGCACCCCTGGACACAAGTAGCCGCTCCCAGAGTTCCCAGCCTCATTTCTGCCCTGAGGGTAACAGTGTAACACATAGAACAGGCCGGAAGAGAGAATAAGTTCCCTCCTCCCCGCCCCCCCCCCATTTCAGAGAGAGAGAGATTGCTGGAGGGATAAATCATGTCAGTGATATTTCCTTCAAGATATTAAATTGTTGCAATGTACAACAAATTGAATGATGGAAGATAGGATGTCTTAATGAGGTTTCGTTTTCAATGAGTGTTGATTTTCTATGTATTTTTAAATCTCTTTTATGGGTGGGTGGGTGGGGGAGTGGGGGAAGGAAGGACCTTGGAAGAAAGAAGGGACTTCTAGGGAAGCATGTGCTGCAGCTCCCCAGCAAGGATGCCTGGCTTTCCTTGAGCCCCTCCTAAACAAAGTCTGGAGGGGAAAGGGGCCCCAAAGTTGGGGATAGTCTCATTTGGGGCCTAAAAGCAGTGGGCGCGGGGGTGGGCGACCTGAGGAGCAGAATGTAAGTCTCAGCCCCGGAAAGTTAAGTGTTTTATTACGTCCCTAAACAGAGGGCAGAGACTGAAAGGTCTCGCCGATTTATAATGAACAGAAACCAGCTGCTGGGGGAAAAAGGCAGAAATGCTAGAAGGGGGAGAGGAGGGGAAGCAGAAATACAAATAAATTCCCCCACTGCTTAAAGATTTTCAGCCAAATTAATTTCCAACATACTCCCCCCCCCATCACCTTCCATTCCTGAGAAAAGAAGCCTCCTTCTTTCAGTTGGATCTTTAATTATGCAGCTGAAATTTGCTGGAAGGATTCGCTCCAAGGGGGGAGAGCAGGTCAGATGAGCCCGATTTTCCCTCCATTGGATTATATTTTCCTTTTCTCATCTTACGTTAATTTTATTTTTTTGGCAAAAGAATGACGGTCTATGGGGGGATAGCTGGGACTTGGGTTTTTCTAAATATATTTATATTTTCCTGTTAAATTTGTCTGAAAACAATTATGGAAACTCATCAGCAGAAGCAAGAACAGATGTTTTATTAAAACTGCAGTTGAGCTCTGTAAATATGCACAAGTCCTGGGAGGGGTTGGGGGGGGGGACTTGTTCTTTGTTTCTATAAAACAAGCCTAGAGCAATCAGAGAACACCCCCATCAGGCCCGCAGGTCTCCGAGTTGCTCTGCCCCTTGGGCCTCCGGAATCAGGCATTCCGAGGGGATTTGGCGGCGAAAACAGATTTTCACTTTCGGAGCTGTAATTAGTGGATTCGAAACAGAATTCAAAAAACACAGTACAGGAATAAAGGGGGAGCGTTGCCGCTCGCTGCTCCAGTCCCCCTATCTCCCCAGCCCAAAACACATGCTTTTCATGAGCGCTAATTATAGGAGAGGGACCTTCTGCAGGCACCATGGGCCTGCATGGGGGGCAGTCACTGGCCTGGAGTCCCCAAGGCTATGGGGTGCTCTGGAGGCTGGGCACTTGAAGGTTTCTCAGAACGAGTCAAGCGCTCCTACCCCAGCCTGAACCTGCTCCAGGCCAGGGGCTGGAGGCCCGGGGCAGCTCTGAACTGGGGAGAGGATAGGTGTGACTGGACTCTGGCTGGGAAGGGGTTCGTGGGCAGGCCTCATCTTGCCTGCCTTTGCTTTCCACTCTGCTCTGGGAAATATATTAATTTCTTGGAGAAGGGGATCTGAATTGAGAGGGATGAGGTCTGGAATTTTTGCTGGACAGTCTTTTCCAGAGGTCCCGGTTAGTTTGTGTTCTGCCAGTCTTCTCTCTCTCCCTAGATCCCCCACTTCTGCGCAGATGTCTGTGACTCACCCAGCCTCGCACACAGATACACACACTCCCTTTCGGGCTGCCCGCGCGCCACAACTATAGCTCGCGCCTCCGGAGGCTGCTCAACGACCTGGACACCGGGGCCGCCAGGACTCAGCGCTCGGCCTGGGTGCTTGGCTGCCCGGAAGCCTCTGCAGCTGCCGGACCCACCCCTGCCAATTCTCAATTCTGAGAGCAGGGGAAGAGCGGTTGCCCCACCAGCCCCTTCTGTGCCACTGGGCAAGGGCCGAAATCCCTCTTGCAGAGAAACCCCAGTTTCAATAATTGTTCAGCTCACCTTACAATTGCACTGTTTGGTTAAGGCTTTGCTGTTCTAGAGTGGTTGCTCAGTTGGCCCGACTGGCTTATGATTAGAATTCTTTCAATTGAAAAATTGAAAAATAAATCCTACTCCAAATGTCTAGTGTTTTGCGTATAAGTTCCTTTGATCTCCACAGAATCCGGAGTAAAAGGATTGCAAAAAGAGAGTCTCCAAGTCCGCCAGAGAACCTGAATGCGGCAAACTGGGTCGGCTTGGGGACACCAAAGCATAGCTCACCCAAGGAGCCTCCAGTTTCTGCCAGATATGCTCCGGGGGGAAGTTGTCTGAGCGCATGCCTCCCCATGCACACACTGCATTCCAAAACAGAACGTTCCTCCTCCTTTCAAAGTTCAGGCATGGAGACACTTGGAGAAAAGCGAAATTTGACACATCCAACCCGGAAATGGATCCCATTTGGGGGTGCTGATATTCTGGGGACAGGGCTCAGGCTGGCCAGCTGAATGGAGTTGGGGGTCAGCAGGGAGGGGAGAAGGAGGAAGAGGCCAGATGGGGCATGTCAAGTGCCTGAGAACTGCCCCAAACACCTCTGAGGCCTGGGCTGGCAGTTCCTCTTTTGAGCTAAGAGGCTGAGAGGCTGCCCAAGCTGCTTTTGCTTTATTTGCAATTAAGCAGAGAAGAAAGGTACATGCAGAGGCTCTGCTAACTCACGTCCTATTTTCTCTCCTCCCTCTCTCTTTCCAGATTTCTTACTGACCTTTCTTTACCACCACTCCACTAGGCCAACACAAGCTCCCACAATGCCATTTGTTTAGCTTCTCAATTCACTTCACTAACTGAAGGTTAAAAAGGAAAATAGATCCCAAGCATCTCTGTCCCATCCCACTCAGCCCTGAGCCCCTTTGGGCTCCCTTTGGAAGAAATCATTTCTGGCTTTTGGGGGCTTGGTCCCAAGCAGCTGAATACCAGCTGAGGAGAGGGCCTTTGGACACAGTATCTCATCCCCGCTGGGCATGGGGAGGGAACTCAGATGCTGAGTGACATTTCAGGGCGGAAAAGCAAGTGGCCCTGGTTGGCCCAGGAGGAAGAATGAGAA